AAATAACGGTTAAAAAATCAATTTTTTGGACCAAAAAATCACTCTCAAACAGGCTGTAAGTACTAATCAAACCAAATAAGAACTCAATATTAATATCTAACTAACAAGATGATGTCCAAATAAATTTTTCGTTGACCACCTACTTCAAATTTGAAAAACCTGTCTAGATGCATACTTAATTATTCACTTAAAAAAATAAAATAAAAATAAAAAATTGAGGTTTTTGAGTTTTCCAAGTCTACAGCTGTAATTGACTCAACCAAATACCAAACCTAAGAGATGACGACGGGGATTAAAAGATCCCGTAAAGCTGCACTATCGAATATAAAGCAGTAGCCAAAACAATGTGCAACTCTTTAGACATGTCAAGGACAAATACATACATTGTATATTTGCAGAAACCTATGTAATGGTCTAAATGATGTTCAAATTCCTCAATTTTCATAGACAACAAAACCACATCACCATAAGTTCGCAACAATTTAGCTTCCACTCCATTTCACAACTCTTTACCCCAATACAGTAAAACCCAAATGATAAAATTGCCACCCAAGATACACCAAACCAAAATCGAGCTTTATGCAAAAAACCACATCTTGATAAAGATTGCCAGACCCATTTGCAGGACAAATGCAGAAATAACCACTACTGTAATTTCACTCTCTTGTATATAAGATCTGAGGTTCAAAGCAACAAAGCTGGCTGATAAACCACCACTGAGTAATATGATAGTCCACCGCAGAAACTCGACTGGAATAACCAACAGGAACTGAACATATTCAAGGAAACAAATCAGATCACAACATTACTAATTTAAATTACAGTCAGGAGGAGATAACAGGATAATAAAACCAAATAAAAACCTTCAACAAAATGCAAAATCAGCATGAGATTCGTTGGTCCAAGTCACGCGTGGCAATGTTGGCTCACATGAATGTCAAACATAAAGCAAGCGAAAATTCAGGAACCAAAGAATCATAGGAATGCATCATGATAAAATATTTAGCATCAACAATTTAAGATAACCAAAAGCGTATACTGAAAAATCTAATCAAATGATTATCTTTTGGGTAAGGTTGAAGGAGCCAAGTGTAACTCCTAATAAACTTGCGGTTATGTGAACTCTTTTGCCACTGTTGATCCAGCCCATGTCGACAGAAAGGCCTATTGAAATCAAATCTTTTGCAACCATCTTATAGCATCTTAATGTGCTCTCTGCTTCCCTCTTCTAATATATACACTTTTTTTTTTTTTTTTTGGAGACTAATCTTCCAACACATACTCCCTAAGATCATTTCACTCTTGTTAGTCTTGTGGGTATAAACTTCTATAGGTCTACGCAACATATAGTCTAACTACACAAGTCATTCTCCCTTCAATTTATCCTCAATTAGCATTGCTCCTACTTGGCTTACGTCTTTATTTATTTTTCGTATTCAATTTTAGTGTCACACATCCATGTCAGTAGTCTGCAAGTTTCATCTTATGGACATTGTGGTCTTTAATGACTAAACATTCAATATCATAAAATATACCTGGTCTAATAGACCTTGCCTGTTAACTAAATAGATATCTCCTAATCACATGTATCCCCTATAGTACTTATCAAGTTTGCCCAATTCACTATAATTATATGCATGACAACCTCTTCAACTGCTCAATCTTTTTAATTATTGGACTTGAATATATGAAACAACCATTCGTTGAGTTAACATCATCCTCAAATAAGATTCTTATCAACCTTACTCCCGTTCAGACTAAATTGCTATTACATTTATTATATCTTAATTTCTCTTAAAACTTTTCAATTTCAAATTGTTCCTCTAAAGTCGTGGCTTATGATTTATGCCATCCTAGTATCACCAACTGAAACTATTTAATCAGTGAATAACACATACCAAGAGAGTTCTCCTGCAAAATCAAATTATAGTCTACATTTTCATTCCTCTTTAACAATAGTTTGTGGAACGTCCAGATACACCCACATTCATATTTGAAAATTGCATTGATCAGAATAAATAGACGGCAATCTATAGCGTAAGTTAAAAAATCAGTAAGCCTATTTTCTTATCAAATTAGCTCAACTGAACTTATGGGTGTAGTATCACAGTGTCCAATCCTACAATCAGATACCAGTGAGTTCATAGCAAAAGAAGCTCGCTCAAAGAAGCACCTTCCAAAAAATGGATTGCAATTGGTAGACCATGTAAAACCATTTGACATAAAAACGTATAGTTGGTAGCTTTTCTTGTTGCTTAGGATAAGACAAAATTAGGAATTGAATACTATGTGACTAATTTATTGCGAGAAACAAAGAAAAGGCAGGCACTTATACTTACAGAACTTAGAATGAAAATGAAAAGGGAATATCCCCACAAGCACCAAAAGCGTATCAGGCTTGCATTTGATCCCAGGTACCGAAGCAAAAAGTAATATGCCAGTGGCACTATCAGCGAATAACCGTAGATGGAGCAAGCTGCCACGTTTAAATAACTGACGTCGAAAGTCCATGAAGTACTGCGATCACTTCTTCTATGCATTAGGTAGGTAGCACAATTTCCAAGCGACGCAATCACAAATACCAATGTAGTGGAGATCCAAACAAGTCCATAGCTAAAAGATGGGGAAACAAAATAGAAAAGTCAGAGGGAAAGAGCAGCAATGCCGAAAGGATGAAGCCATGAAGTGGAAATGAACATTGAAATATAACAAGAGAACCAGAATGAAAACTAGAATAATATAGATGTTAACTGTGCAGTTGATATCCAACAGATTTTGAGATCATAATTATCCCCTTTTCCTCTATTTCTTTCCTAAGCTTCTGAAAGATATTTCAGTCAATGTTTAAAAAGGTTTAATCGGTTATTGACGTGTCTTTGCCTCAGCGGGGCTGGCAAGGCGAGGCTAAGCCTTGAGGCATTTTGAGGCATAAGACTCGAAATAGAATAATAAATAGTTCAAAAGAATGTAAACGTACAAAAATATGCTTATAATAAATCATACACCATGTTCAAAAAATCCATAATAAAACATATTAACAAAATTAAAAGTTTACCTTGCAAACAAACATTAATAATAATAATAATTCAAAAAGCTATGAATAGTGATAGAATGTCAATAAAATGCAAGACAAGCAGGCAAACAATTTAGTCTTCTTGAGGCTTAGCCTTGTGGCGTAAGCCTCACAAATAACACTATAGGGGTGGGATTCGATGCGTTTTATGAAAGCCTCAGGTGAGGTGGGATTCAAGGAATAAGCCTCATATAATTATTTAAAACAATTATGTTCAAAAAATCCAAAATAAAACTTATTAACAAAATTAAAAGTTTAGCTTGCAAACAAACATAATAATAATAATAATAAATAAACAAATAAAATAAAAATCCAAAAAGCTATGAATAGTGATAGAATGTCAATAAAATGCAAGACACGCAGGCAAACAATTTAGCCTTCTCGAGGCTTAGCCTTGAGGCATAAGCCTCACAAATGACACTATAGGGCGTGGGATTCGATGCATTTTATGAAAGCCTCAGGTGAGGTGGGATTCAAGGCATAAACCTCAAATAACTTTTTAAAACAATGATTTCAGTTTTCTTTTCATATTTTAACTTTTTACGCTGAATTTCCGGCTAATCATCTTATATAATCAGACAGTCCTTTTCTGTTTACATTTTTTAGTATAATTCTGGTTGTCCATATTCCATACCCTGGAGAAAATAGTAAACTGGGGGGACCTGGGGGACGGGGGGTTGGGATTACAATTTTACCACGAAGTGGACTTAGAAAACCACTAGCCCAGCCCGAAATGAGTATCTTTATTCATTTATATCTACCAACTAAATTGGAAAAGATCAACTTCGTCATCACTTATTGTTCATCCTTAACTCCCAAGGTCCAATCACTTCTTTATTCATGGAAGTATGGAAATGTACTTCACTAATAATAGATAGATGCCATTCTAGAATTACAATACCTCAGGTACATCAGAAAGATCATACGCTACATCATAGAATTCAGGAAAGTAAGATCCAAATTTTAATCTTTAGAATTCAGGAAAGTAAGATCCAAATTTTAATCTTTACTTCACTAATAATAGATAGATGCCATTCTAGAATTACAATAACTCAGGTACATCAGAAAGATCATACGCTACATCATAGAATTCAGGAAAGTAAGATCCAAATTTTAATCTTTAGCAGGTAATATTGGCAGCTGATTTCTTCAAAATATCATCAGTACGATGGAAGTTGTCAGCACTATTAAAAGTATTACAGAATTGGAACTAGAAATGACCCATGCGAAAAACATAACCACAACTGTTAGACTGTAGCAACAGTACATAACCACAGGTAAGAAACAATATGAAGCACTAACATTTGCAATGCATTTATAACTTGCTTGAAGTGCATTTAAAAAAAATTATAACGTAAAATTTCAAGAAATTGAGCTGAAAAAGTTAGTTGAAGACCAGACTATCACCAATTTTAATTGTAATAAATTTGGATAGTGGTCTGAGTAGACAATTTACAGATACTGACTCTTGAAAACTATTTAAAATGGACTTTTAAGGTTAAGACTGAATCCATCCTTTCAGCATCTCATTGAACAATATTGGTGAAAAAGAATCAATTTGTAAAGAAATACTCGCATCTCATCAACTTTGCATCATCAAAACATGCACTCTTTCATTTCAACTAAGAAGTCTTGAGAAGAAAACTAATCAGAGTCAACTAGTTTCAATTATCTCTGATTCCTAATCAAATAACATTCAGTTGACTAGCTCAATTTGGATGTATTTTCACGAAAGCAAGAGAGATAGATATAGAGAGCTGGAGAGGAAGCGGGAGAAGAGAAGTGGTGTCAGGGATTTTACATGTAATACTATATCATATACTCAGGTAAAGATATCTTTTCCAGCACGTGGTTTCAAATGAAGAAATGAAACAAAACTAATTATTCCAGCAACACCGAAACTTACAGGTCTGGGTTGGCATCAATCTTGCTGAAAAAATCTCCACTTATAGGATACAAAGAACTGATCAATCTGCTCAACAAAATGTCTGTATCTATATTAAAATATTGGGTGTAAGAAGAGATACTAAAAACTCCTTTCCAGTTGTTTGTCGACTGTTGTGCATCACCATCTGCAGGAATTATCAGGTGGGGTGTCATTAGCTGTTTGAGCAAGGGTATTTGCTTCTTTGTTGGACTCATCTGGCTATTTTAAAACACATAAAAAGGTTCGGTGATAGTAAAAGACGAAAAATAGGAGATGATACTGCACATTCCCTTAATGTGCATATCAAAAGTCTAGCTTACAGTGAATGTCGTTTGCTCATTAGCCAAATTTAAGGGGAAGGAAAGAACATAGAGTACCTAAATACATATATTAACAAGTATTCACTACAATCTAGGTGAATGAAATATATTTCTTCATTATCTATCATTTTTGTTTCAAGAAAACTGTGGATGGTGAAACAAATAACAAGCAATATGTCCTTAATGTTATGGAAATGAAGTTCAAAGGCACTACGAATGTCATCTAGAGAAAACCATCCCCCTCCCCAGAACATTTATAAATATATATCAAGCCAGCAGTCATTTATAGTAAACAAAGTTTTTTGGCCAAAAATTTCACGCTCTGCCATTTTCAAATTTGTGATTATGGAAAGATAATAATTTCAGGAGAATAATCATCAACTGAGTGTATTAGAAACCAGAAAATGATGCACAACTTTCAGTACGTTACATATTACAAGAAATAATGACAATTCCATTTCGAAAGTAATGTTTAATCTTTTATCTTTAGATTCACAATAAAAATTATGGGCAAACAGAGCATGCTTTGCTTTAAAAAGCTCCAAAAGCAGGAAGAGTACGTGCTTTGTAAAGGGCCAAATGGCACTATGCTCGGACCAAAGACCTGGAAGTCAGAAAAGGGCCCTTTCCCTTTGCTATATTCGGGGATTCAATACGGTTTTGCACCCAACCAAGTTTTATCTTTATATAGGGGCCAAAAATCAGGTCATAATCCAATAATGTTTTCACTTTTATCCATTTGGTGGTGCACAATTTTGTACATAAAGGCAATACCAATCGGTGTTCCAATACATGAGTCATGCACCAAAACTGTTCGCAGACTTGTCCCAAATCATTAATTCAAAAATGAACTTTGAAAACAAACTAGTGTTCAGCTATAATTGCCAAATCAAAAAGACGATATCCTAGATGCCGCTAAAGTTCTCCGTGTTCTCTACAAGTATGTGTCATAACAATTATAGAAGATACTACATACCAGTGGTACCACCGAGAGTTTGATATCCCGGGCCCCTACTTGCACCATTATTGGGAGGAAATATTTGCAAATTTGCACCAGGAACTTCACAGAATCAAACATTCAAATTGAAAGATGCATTGTTCAAGAGAATAGAACAATAAACATAAAAAATTATTATAAGATCTCTTACCTTCTTGGTTAGTGGCTGCCTTTCCTTCACTAACAACAGCCTGCACATGTACAAAATTTTAATATAGAAGGACAAATAAATATATTAAAATACCTCTTCACTTTGTCACTCTGTGTACTTATTTTTCAAGCATGCGAAGCATAATTAAATTGATAATTTTTCTAACAGTAGAATTCCCTAGGAAACTTGAGAGGCATCTCAAACCGAAAAAGGATCAAGATAAATAGAAGGGCTGAGGATTCAAATACATTCATGTTGATTTCACAATTTCTACCTATTAGTTCTCTGTTCTTGCTACTCATTTACAGTAAGATATTACTATAGTCAACGATCAATAAGAAAACTAATAAAAAACTTGAGAAATTGTTACTAGTACTTAACACACACAAAAATGGTCTATAACTTTGTTCAGGCAAATTACACATAGAGCCCGTTTGAGCCACATTATTTGTAAAATTAGAATGAAAAATAGAGCCGGGCCCCGAGATAGAAATTAAAAAATGATGACTTGATGTGATGGATAACGGTCATATTTTTCATTTTAATGAGGTAAAAATGGGACTCAAACAGGGCCATAATAATCACTTGGGCCTTGCATCTAATCACCTCAATAGCAAAATTAATTAAATTACAATTCTGAAAGGCTTAACCATCCGAATTAATAATAATAAATAACAACAACAACTGATCAGATAAAAATGACCTTTATTATGACATTGAATAATCATCTTCCAGGTAATACTCATTAAAGGCATCGCCAAATATTGGCTTTCTCATAAATTTTACTACCAAAACTAGCATTAACTTCAAAAAAAATAATAAATAAAATCCCTCATAAATGAGCACCCAAAACAGTTCAAATTCTGTGTATCAACTCCACATTTTCAGAGCTTCAGTATAGAACACTATAAAAACGCAACCTTCTCAATTGAGTAGTTAGTTCTCAATGCAATCGAAGATTTCAGGACAAAGCGCTTTCCAGGGGGGAAATAGCGCAAAATTATAATCAGACAAGGAAGTTACGGAGATAATCATATTAAATCATCAATAGTACAGTACTGTTATGAAATGTGGAAAGAGTAGTTTACCGGGACTGAGCCAAGCAAGTGGCTGGTTGGAAGATTGCTGGAGGACTCGTCCATCGAATTCAATTTAGAGAGAATGAGAAAAGATCGAAGAGGGAGGGTAACAATTTGGTTCAGTGAAACATTTTAATCTGATTCAAGTTGCTGATTTGCTGCAAATTTGAGTTCTTTCTCTAATGGACGAGTCACTGCTTCGAGAAGAGCCCTAAATTTTCGTTTCTCCAATGCTTCGCAGGTTAGATTACGTTAAGGGGCCAACGGAACGACGGAGAGACTGACGGAACAAATAAAGGGTTAACGCGCTTTTATATTTATCAAAGCGAGTTCATCATATGTAAACTTGCCACAAACAAAAATAAATAAAATTCATTTTTGGGAAGTATTTATGGAAAGTATAAATTATAATTAGATATAAATAAATGAATGTTGGATAAGTTTTGGATCTTTCAAAATGTATAAATAAAAATTGAGTTAACTGCTTATGAACAATTCTTATAATTCTGTTTCAAAAATGATACCATTACAAATAAGATGGGAGCAAATTAGGGTTGGAATTCCTAAATTTTATGGGTCTTACATCTTAACGTTAAAAGTGATGTTTGTGAATTTAGGAGTTCATAGGATTGAAACTATCAATGTGAACGTTAAAATCACACGACTTTCATGTGACTTAAAGTTGAAGGTTAAAATTTTTGAATCACTTAACATTTATCTCTCATTCAATCGTAGGTAACGTGCTATTTTAATATCTATATTTGTCGTTTTAGTCATTTAATACTACAGTTCAGACAATCAAATAAATTGATGATCTAAAATCTCACTTTTGAAAATCAAATACTCTAAATCATAATTACACCACATGAAATGTTGGATAGTTCCACCCTTTTTTTTTTAATATAAAAAAAAAAAGAAAAAAAAACCCCCACATAATTGTGCTATTGCTTCCTAACTTTTGGAGTCACTTGTTTTGTTATAGTTGATTTTTTTTCTTAAAAAAAATTATTATTCAAGAAAATACATCTAAATTTATTTATTTTCATGTATATTATTTTAAAAAAATGGCAAGTTTTAAGTGCAACAAAATGCTCTTTTTACGTAAAAAATAAAAATAAAAATAAAAAATAGCCAAATTGTTCTGAATATTAAGAAATTTGGGGACTCTATGAACGAAATCGACCAGAGTTAGAAATAAGAAATCAATATTTGCACATTTCCTTTCAAATTGGAATTACTGACTCATAAATGATGACATACAACAAATCGCCCCTTAAATTATCATTCACTGGGATATCGAGATATCAGTTTGCTTATCAAAAGCCAATTGAAACCGAGAGAACACATGATAAGAATTTGGCCTATTGAGTACAAGTGTTGCTACAATTAAGATAAAATTTGTCAAAGTAGAAAATAAAAGCATAAAGTTTTGTTCTCATTATTTAATTATCTAGCAATGAATCTCATAAACTTCGCATTGTGAGTAGATAATAGACACATGTAACCATTTAGTAGATGCATCGTTTAAAATTATTAAATACTTAAATGGTCCCCTTAGGAAACGAGATTTTCAAACAATTTATAGATTTCAGCCACATCTCTAGCTAGTGAAGATCAATCAACCTATTTGCCATGAGAACGAGGAGAAGGTGAGAATTCATTATGTTGAAGATTCTTTTGATTCTTCAACGAATGTGAATTCTCTATAATTTTTCTCATTATCATTTTTTTTAATCGATAAATGTAAAATTCTATTGAGAAAAAATCATATACTAATACACTAGGCATACCTGAGCAAACAACATTCAAGTGAATATTACAATTACTCCAGGCATACCAGGCAAACAAAATGAAAGATATACAAATGATAATAGTTATGGGCCCAATACTAAAGACTCAAAATGGATTAAAACATGTGGATTC